AGTTCATCAGGTAATCAGATGAATAATCAGCCAGTTGATCAAAATAACAATACAATGGGAAATAATCAGACAGGAAATGGCCAAAATAAAAACCAAGATACAACAGATATGAACAATAACCAAATGAACAGCCAGCCAGCTGGGCAGTCAGGAAGTAAAAGCACTGAGTCTAACAACATAATCATAGAGTACAATGAAGACGGTAAAAATAACATTGACTTTGTAATTCCCAGCAACCCAAATACCTCTTCCTCTCCTGATATAAACAACAGCACCCAGCCAAATACCACGCCCGTATCCATAGACTCTGGAGAGTTCAAGAACAATCTTTCTTCGCACAAACTGCAAAATGCAAATAGCAACTCGATCTTGTCATCAGATAAAATGCTCAGCCCATCAATGGCTGCACCAACTGCAAAGCCTGCAGCACCCAAGGGCGCACCTTCCACTGGGGGAACTAAGCCTGCTAGCACACCCGCCAGCACAGGAGCGCCCTCTAGCTCGTCCTCTAGCGCAGGCAAAGGAACATTTAAGCTGACAACTGATCAGATCAAACAAACCGTGGCAGCATGCAACTACGGCGCTAACTACAAACCTGATTTTGCAGCTGAATTAGTAAACCAGATAAACAACGCAAAATGGGACAGCAATGAGACGAGTATGTTCCTGGCTCAGATATACCACGAGTCAGCGGGATTGAGTCTACTGGTTGAACAAGCATGCGTATCTTCGCCATGCACTAACTACGATAATGCAGATAAGTCTAACGGCACTGTGGTTGGTGCTCCGGGAAAGCACTATTTCGGAAGAGGATACATACAGCTCACATGGCCATCTAACTACAAGGATGCCAGCAATGCGATCTACAAGGATGACAGACTGTACACCAATCCTGATCAGGTAGCTACGGATAAGAGCGTTGCAGCGGCTACGAGTATATGGTACTGGAACACAAAGGTAATGACGTCAAAGTCACCACTGAGCAACTTTGGAGAGACAACAAAGGCGATCAATGGAGCCATTGAGTGCGGTAAGGGTCCCAATGCAGCAGCTAAGAACAGATGGACCAACTACCAGGCGATTGCCAAGATATTGGGTGTTACTCAGCTGGCATCAGAGAATGGCTGCTACTAATAAAATGCACCTATTGAGTAAATAATTTTCATTCTACTTTTATCTGATGTTTATTTGCATTGCGTGGTAAAATTACAAATAAAAATAACGGAAAAAATAAAAATAGGAAGTAAAGTAGAACAAGATAAAGATGCTCAGTGGAAATATGAGCCAAGAAGCAAGAATAATAAGATGCAGCCACTAGGAGCAAAGACAATTTACTATTTACCAATAAGCTGCTATTGACTGCTATTCTCCAGTGCTGCTGTGAATATGTGAATGTGTTTGTCTCTAAGTGCATATTTTAATGATTTATTTTATCCTAAATGTTTTGTTTGTTTGTCTCTTCTTTTTCTTCTTTTCTATCTATACTTTCTACGCTCTGGTCCATTGACGATCCTTTTTTCATTCTTCTGATTTTTCTTATGATGTCTCTGTTCTTTATGAAGTCGCAGCACGTGAGCTCTTTGTTGTGTCTTTTGTTCAGTTCCCCGTACACCCACTTGATGCTGTCTTTACACACTCCCGTCTGCAAAGATATGTTCTCAAAGCATCCTTCGCTCGGGACAAAGTGTCTTTTGTGTATGACGTATCTCAGTATGCAGTTCGACCAGTAGGTAAAGTATGCTCTTTCTCCATCTGCTGAAAGCGGCTGTTCGGGCCCTGCGGTGTACGGGGGCTGCGTTGTTTTTCTCGTTAGATAGTAGCTGAAATCGATCAAAAACGAGCCAAGCCCCAGCCTTCTGTACGGGGGGAATACGACAATGCATGAAAGATTGTTCCTTCCCTCTCCTCTTTCCTTGGAAAAGTATCCCTGCATCACAAAGTCTCCGTCTTTTATCTCTCCAATGATGTAGAAAAGAAACGGCTCGACATCGTAGTAAAGTGTCTTGTGGTCCAGAAACATTTTAGCCAGCAGACAAAGACTCTGGCAGTATTTCTGCTCTTTTTCTCCTTCTACCTCGAATACAGCCACTCTTTCTGCGTCTAGGTACAGCAGTCTGCCTGGGGGATAGATCGAGCTGCATTTGATTTTGTGTCTCTCCAGCATGTATTTAGTGGGAAAGTAGTCCAGACACCCGTGGCATATGTGGAGAGTGTGGTACTTGGCGTACTCCTCGGGGTATGGGGAAGAGAACAGGGGAGACATTTCAACCTCTCCCAGGAACACTGTTTTTATTCCTTCTGTGCTTTTTGATCTTGGGCTATTTTTTTTTACAATTTCTGATATTCTTCTGGCCATTTCCTTGCTCGCATCTTCGGAGTATCTTTCGAGCGCAGGAATCTCTGGGCCCAGCAGAGCCTCAAAGGATGTTTTGCTGTGCAGCTCTGTGCATTTTATGCAGTGCTCTTCTCCTGTTGGCTCTACTGTGTTTATTTTACAGTTATTTTTTTGGTGCTCTTTTGTCTCTTTTTTCTCCTTTATCTCTGCGGAGTGCTCAGAGTGGCAGTGATATCCGCACAGCTTGCAGCGCTCTGGCTCATTTTCTGTCTGCGTATAGCAGATATAGCACACTTTGCACAGGGGGCACAGCATCACCGAGCTTTCTTCTCCTGTTAGCTCTACTTTCCTGCTCAAATCATCGCCCAACTCTATTTCATTCGCACATCTGCTACATTTCATAGAATTTTTCGTAAAAAAACAATGAAAAAAAGACAAACCCACTACAAAGAAAGAGGACAGCTGGAGGAGAGAAGGGGCCTGGGTGTCCTAGAGAAAAAAAGACACTTTCTGGCGAGGAGCAGGCTAGCAAGAGAAAGAGAAGAGAAAATACAAACAATAAAAAAGCTGGCAAGTGAAGCCAATCCAGACGAGTTCCAGTACTTCATGTACAAGTACAAGAGAGATGGCGTGCGGCTGCTAAAAAAAGACACACTCGCAGAGAGCAAGCCTTTTGAGCTGCTTCCAGAAGAAGCCCCTCTAGAAAAAAAGGAAGAGAAAGCAGTTTCGCAGAGAGTCGTATTCACAGACTAATCGCGTATTATAGACAGAACAGCAGATGGACATATTGGGTAAAATTATTGATAGAATAAAAAGATAAATGGCTAACCAGTGCTGCTTGTATTTCTCTTAACTTTGGCTAATGCTGATAATTGTAAGCCTGTGATTTGTGCTGATGCTCTTGGACCATTCTCGAATAGAAGATGGGATTATTTAAAAATGAGAAATACAAAAATCATTTCAGCGCTCTTAATTATTTACACTTTAGCGGCTGTTTTAGACAATGCAAGCTTGCTTTCTATTTGCATTTATTCTGGCATTCTTATCCTTTAATGGACAAAATAAAAATAAAATATGTACTTAGGATAATATGGACATTTTTAATTCATGTTGCAGAAGACTATGTGTAAGTAATTTTAGTAATTTTATTTTAGTAACAGCAGTAATAGATAATAGCTGATAGAAGTATGGCAGTAACAAAATGCATCTTGATAGAGTTTCTCATAGAAAGAGAGAAGTAAGAGATAAAAAGTATCGAAGAAGAATAATCAGTTTTACAAAGTATCAGTACCAAAATAGCCAGGAAATGAAAGTGTCTCTTTCAGAGAACATGAAAATTTAGAATATTTACTATTTATTCAGCTTTTTATTCTTAAACAGTTTTTTGGGCTTTATTTCGGCTGATTATATCCTCCAGACTCTTCTTTGCAGTTTCAACTCTTTTTTGGCCGTTTAATATTTTCAAGTCTCTCCTTTTGAATGGATCTTCGTATTCTGGTTCTTTTTCTTGTTTTTCTACTTTTCCTATTGCTTTACTAACTATCTCTTTGCCCTGCAGTTCTTCAAGTTCTTTCTTTATTTCCTCTTTCATTTTCTTGAGCATAGTTTTGTTCATGTCCTTTTTCTCTTCAGCTATTTCTTTCTCCTTTTCTTTTATTTCTATTTCACTTTTGCTAATATTTTCAGCGAGCTCACTGAGCTTATTCTTCTTTGATGCTTCCTCTTCTTTTTCTTCTTTTAGCTTATTCTCCTGCTCTTTTTTCTTTAGCTCTTCCTGTTCTTTTTTAGCCTGGTCTTCT